TGCTGCTTTCAACAATGTTTACAAGTAAGTTTACTGACCTACCTTATGCTAGCTGTTACTGTACTAGCTGTTACCATACTGCTTTCAAACAGTGTTTACAAGTAAGTTTACTTGCCTTACTTCATGCTGTTACCTTGATTCTTTCAATTATACCTACTTTAGTATCAACTTTTGACTTTTAGCCATTTCTACTGATGATACCTACTTTAATATCAACTTCTACTGATGATACCTACTTTAATATCAACTTCTACTGATGATACCTACTTTAATATCAACTTCTACTGATGATACCTACTTTAATATCAACCCTACTGATGATACCTACTTTATATCAACTTCTACTGATGATACCTACTTTAATATCAACTTCTACTGATGATACCTACTTTAATATCAACTTCTACTGATGATACCTACTGAAACATCAACCCTACTGATGATACCTACTTTAATATCAACCCTACTGCTGGTACCTACTTTATATCAACTTCTACTGATGATACCTACTTTAATATCAACTTCTACTGATGATACCTACTTTAATATCAACCCTACTGATGATACCTACTTTATATCAACTTCTACTGATGATACCTACTTTAATATCAACTTCTACTGATGATACCTACTTTAATATCAACCCTACGGATGATACCTACTTTAATATCAACTTCTAATTGACTTTTAGCCACTTCTACTGATGATAATTGCTGTGTAATATCATCTGCAGATTTTTGTAAAGTTTCTTGGACAGCATTCCTTTCTTTCTCTAATCTTTCATTTTCTAGTTTACTTTCCTAATAACAACAAAACATAACAAACATGCTGTTATTATAACATCCATGCACATTCATAAACATTTGTCTTATTTTGAACAAGACAAAAATATGATTTCATTAAAACAATCAAGGCTCAAGATAGAAAGAGAAAACACACACACATCTGTATATTCCAAGATCTCCGAGAACAGTTCATGCAAAAATTCTGAAAAAGGCAGGTTTGTTACTCATTCCATTTAAAGAAAGTATGTTAACCATACATATAAACACACTATCAGTTCTTTTAAACTCAACAAAATTTGTTTTCAATATTTCTTAAAAAAAATCATTTCCATTAAATTTTAAAAATATTTTATATTAAGGTAGATATTAGCTTGTATACAACTACTGAATGTAGGTTTACAACCTTCCAAACCATTTAACAAAATTACTGTATATCTGAGATCATTTTTTTCACTATTTATTCAGGAAATTTTGTTACCTTTATAATCTGTTCTTTTTCCTCTAATGCAGCTTTCTCACTGGTCAGCTGTTTGGTTGCATCTGCATGCTGAAAAAAATATCAATTTTGATTGTGACGGCAATAAAGGAAAACAGGCAAATGGCTCACATTTCAAACAATGACCAAACTTGAGAAGAATCTTTTTTTTAAAAAAAACCTATCAAATCCATCTAGATACTCCTTTGCATCATCTTTACTTTGTGTTCGAAGCTCACCGTCCAAATCCTTGCATGTCGAGAATTATCTTTGATTGAATATTAAAATGCTGATTGTCAATTTAAGATACTCTGTGATATATAGAAAGGGCATATATAGAATTCCTAGTTTGAGATATTTTTAAAGGAATTATCCGATTTTCGTACATTTTTAGTACTTCTGAAGACTATTTACTTATTATATTCAAGACTAAAATCAACCCTCTATCCCTTTAAAAAAGTTAAACTCACTTTTCTTAATAATTGAACATGTTCTTCTCTTAATTTACTATAAATATCCTTCATTTTCTGAAACTTTTCTTGACTGGCTTTACTTTGTTCTGAAAGGTAAGTATTAGTCTAAATGAAATATCAGAGAAAAAAATAAATTATCTCACATTAATATGAATTGATCTCAATGAAATATACATAAACAAAAAAAACTAAAATATCTAATATCAAACTTTTCTCAATATGTAAAAATAACAGATACACAGAAGTTTTGATGGAAATTTGAAATAATTCATTCTTAAAGTTGAACAATTAAACATCAAACTAAAAAATCCTAATCATAAAAAACAGACAGTTGAAGATGTAAAGAGTACTAAACTATTTAATACTAATTTTCACTTTACTAACTATTATTTAAGTGTTTAAAAGAAAAAAAAAGTGGTTTAATTTTAACATTCAACCAAAAAATTCAGATTTAATCACTGATTTTACTGTTAAAAGTAAAAGTTAAGAGAAGTTGTAATCTATCTAAATCTACTTTTTATTACATATGTGAATATTTCAAATAAAAAATAGGTCAAGTTGAAAGTAAAGATTTTCTATTGTTTTAGTCAAAATTTCAACATTAACTATGAAACACTATAAGGAATATTTTTACAGTCTCTATTAGGTTATATAATCTATAATCCAAACAAAATTTGGTTAAGTTGAAAGTAAAGATTTTCTATTGTTTTAGTCAGAATTTCAACCTTAACTATGAAACACTATGAAATATTTTAAAACTCTCTAATAGGTTTTCTATTGTTTTAGTCAAAATTTCAACCTTAACTATGAAACACTATGAAATATTTTAAAACTCTCTAATAAGTCATATAATGAATAATTCAAACAAAATTTGGTTAAGTTGAAAGTAAAGATTTTCTATTGTTTTAGTCAGAATTTCAACCTTAACTATGAAACACTATGAAATATTTTAAAACTCTCTATCAGGTTATATAATGAATAATCCAAACAAAAAATTGGCTACTAACAGAACCATCTAAAAGTTAAAAGAGAAGTAGCAACTATATTAATCTAGTATTTAGTGATAGCTTTTATGTAAACTATAGACAGTTATATAACCTTCAAAGGTTAACAAAATATTATTGTCTAAAATATAGTTGATTCATTTCAATTATTATGTGAGAAACTTATTTGTTGATTAAATTTGGAATAGACCAACTGTGAATTTGATACAATGTTAGAAACGCCAGGACTTATTTTAAATATATTGGTAAGGTAAGATCATATCTTTAAAATCCATTTTCTTTCACCTTATATTTGCATGCATTAGCATTCATATAGCACAAATCATTGTAAGGAGATTTTATACAGCAGGTAGAGGGGACAGGGAAAAAGGGTAAATTGTACAGGCTCGTGTAATATTTTGAAATTCCCTATGAACAATCAACTATAGATATTAACAGTATTTTTGAATGATTTGGTTAATTTTCGAGAATCCATTACTTCTGTGATTGATTCAAAATTTGATTCTCTACATGCTTGTAGTTGAACCTTTTTCTAAATATATGTATAAAATATTTGGATCCGAAGTTGCAGGATTTGGTGGATAATAACTACATGGGCTTTTATGGAGTCTCAAAGGTAGTTAATTATTAGGTGAACAGGAACAAATTTGTAGGATATATGATCTGACGAAATTGTTATGCATCTCATGTTCTAGGTCATTTGAAATTCAACCAATCAAATGCTCTGTTTCTAACTATATGTGAGGAATTCAGGAATGTTCATTGTTAATCATTGAATTTTAAAAAAGAATCTGTTATCTATTAAAAGATGTTCCTAATGAACCTATATAATATATAGGACAGGGTGTTATTGAAGAGGTCTATGTTATATTAGGTTAGTAACTGTTGGAGATTGAAATAATTCAACACAATTCCTACCATGATGTTCTCCTATTAAATCAATAAAAATACTTGTAGATAAGGATATTCTCAACAGATCTTAAATCCATAACTACTCAATTAGCAGGATTGCTGACTGACTTTCAAAAGTACTGGCAATATGGTATCAAAAATTTATTTTGCTTTCAGGAGCTTTCTGTTCTCAGTTGGTCTAATGTCAGCAACTCTGACTTCAACCCAGTGGCGTTTCTGGGAAAAAGTAGTTGAGGGGCTGAGAAAGGTCAAAAGGTGGGGCCACTATGTAAACAAATTTTTAAGTAGGGGGCAATGCAGGGCCAGCCTCTTTTCTGCCATTTTACCAGGAATATTTTGAATAACTTACTTTCAGCATCACCTAATTTTTCTGCTGCTACAGCTGCTATTCTTAGTTCTTCTGTTTCTTTCTTCAAACTGTCATTTTCCTAGCAAAAATATCAGAAGTTAGAGATTTTCTAGTAATGTTCAGCCTCACTTTCACATGATCTTCAAACCAGCCAATCAAAATGCAAACTAAAGAAGATGTTTATCATTTGAACAATGCCCTTCATATTACTGTCCAAAACTCATACCTAGTAATGTTTTTTGATATAAACAATATTCAATATATCTTACCTTCAATGCTTTATCAGCTGAAATCCTTAATTCAGATAAGATCTTCTCTAATTTACTTATTTCATCTTTTAATGATGAGATTATTCTTTGATCCTGTAAATAAAACTTATTATTTATGCAGCCCATCATTTATATTGCATGAAAATTTATAATAATCAATCTTATGCTGATTTGTCAAATAAAGCTATGTGGACTCTCAAAAAGATGATTCAGTTATATTTGTCTAGGCCTGGGTAAAATGATCGAAATAATCGATTATCGTCCCTAATTTTGATTATTAATTATCAAATTTCATAATCGTTTATATGTCAGCACCAGTTACTCCACTGTACCCATTAACAAAGTTATGTTACCAACAATAAACTATAATAACTGATCACAGCAAAAAAATACTTCTATGACGCAGAAAGTACCCATGAAATTAAGAATTCTGGCATGTTTATAATTTAATGTTCACAGATTTTTTCAATTGAATTATTTCAATTATTAATCGATTATTAATCGGTAGTCTTACTTCGATAATCGATCTCAAGTTTGTAATATATGCCACTCTATAAATAAATCCTTTGCATATACTTAATATCATCAATAAGAATTTGTATTATGTACCTCTGTTTTGACTCTCTGTAATTCTTCTTTTAATATTTCTATTTCTCTCTGTAACCTCTCAATAATCAGATCTCTGTAATAAAAACATAACCATGTTATCAACCATCTTTCAAGATTTCAGAATTTTTTTTATAAATGATCACAACAGAACAAATTTTGAGAATTAACTATCAATTACTCAAAGCTTAATTGAATAAGATCAGTTTTTGAAAAGAAGTTGCCTGGAAAATGTAATCCTACCTTTCATCAACCTCTGGTGGTCTACCATTAAAATTAAAACTACCCATATTATTCTCACCAAATGTCTGGTCAAACTGGTCTGGAGGCTACAAAATGTATAGAACAAAAGTGTAAGTCTTTGCCAAACCAAGGAGGTAAGAATAACATGGAAAAAACCATTGAGAACTGAATTTGCTATCATTCTTATTCAGAAAGAACTTTAATATAAGTTAATGGGGTGACATCTCTCATTCTGTTTAAAACTTACTGGAGGATCAGCAAGGTCCAATAAAGATTCATCAGGTGTGTCAAGATCTGGTTCAGGTTCAGGATCAGGTTCATTAGGTACCACAGCTACCGGTTTAACATGTTTAATAAAATCAGATGCTTGTAGGAAATTAGGTGGTTCATCTGGTAGATGTGGTACTTGTACTAAAGATTTAAAATACTGTAAATTACTAGAACTGTGGTAAAACTGCTTTAATCTGAAAAGAAGAAGAGAAATGTCCTTCAAAAGCTGTGAATGGATGTTTTATGTTTTAAATCTATTAGAGGCATTGTCAAAAGGGTTTCCTAATTCTGTATGTGTTTCGGAGACACTCATAGCATCAATATACACTATACTAATCTCAAATCTAAGGTCAGATTTCTTTAGTTAAAAACACAAAGATATATGGGTGTACTACTTCTGAGTTTACTATGTTTTGAAACACATACTGGTAATGTTATCAAGTCTTTATTTAAATTCTAATATTGTTCTACCTACTTGTTATAGCCCTTTAGAAATCTTTCTCTATGTCCACTTAATGTATCTGGTGTTAAACCTGCAAAAAAACAAATATTAAATTGTTGACCAAAACTTTGATAAAGTAAAATAACATAAGTTCAATGAGTAAAACATCTTCATAATGAAGGTTATTACAAACTCTGTCTTATACCTGACACTTTAAGTTACTTTTCTTGTTTCTTGGAAGTTTGAAAAGGTAGCGATTTGATAAAAATACAGTCCAATAGAGCCTTTGACAGAATGATATGGGTTTCTTCTAAATTCTATATATGTCTTTTTTATATATCACAGAGTATCTTAAATTGACGAGCGTCATTTAAACATTCCATCGCAGATAATTCTGGACAAACATGCATTGAAAGGCTCAAATTTCGACAATGAGCTATGAACAGTTTTACAGTTGAAAAATTCCTGTTTCTGAGACTAAAGTATAATTGGTAAAAAATGGCCTACCTGTCCCTTTAAGGCAATTGCCACTAAAAATATCTTTATAAATTAACAATTAAAAACAATTTGATATACAGAACTTAAGACCAACTTACTAGAATGAAGTCTAAATAATGATTTGACAAGATAATCATATAACTGACAAGAATCTAATATAGCTAGTATTAATGGTGCTAATCTACACTGTCCAGCAGTGGTCATTGAGTTAGCACGAGACATATCTAATGACCCAAACACTGAAATAGACAAAATTAACAACATTTCAATATAATGCACAGTAAAAAGATACGGGATCAATCTGTTATATCATGCTTAAGTAATCATTCATCGAACTTCATAAAAGAGCCTACTATATACTGTTTACACTCAAGAGGCTCACACATGTCAATAAATGTACAATTTATAGATTTCTGCATGAAAGGAGTATGTAAACATACCATTTTGTTGTAAATGTAGGATTTCATCTAGTAGATCTAACATATCTATCGAAAATTCAAAACTGAAAAGAAAATTTTAACAGTTGGAGATGCATTAAAATGAGACATGCTAATTTTGTACACTGATTAAATATTCATGTTGTGTTCATTTCTTCAAAACTAACCATAAGTAGAAGCCTGCTGATTGGCTGGTTGAAACCCGTTGTCTAAGAAAAATAAGAACAGAATTCAGTTCTATATGTTGTATCTTCACACAGTTAATAAGAAGTATTTTTATGGAAGATAATGACAAACAATGTCTATATGTATTACTTCTCAATCTATTAGGCCTTATAATTATAAGCCTTTGTCATAATTTCTATGATGTTTAGAATACAAATTTCAACAAAGTTCTAAAAAAAACAACCAAACTCACTAATTATTAACATCTGAACCACAGATTTTATTAAACTGTTCATCATTCATCAGTAAGTTACCAGGTATACGGGGATACTGAAAGTATAAACCTTACCGGTCAGAATACTAAATAATACTCAATGAAGTCATAACATTTTAGTACCTGAATAGTAGTTTTAAGTTTTAGTACTATGGACTTTTTTTTAGCTCAAATTCAGCTAAATGGAGTGAAATTTCCTAAGATGATATTTTTTATTTGCAGCTTTTTTGAACAATTTCATAATATCATCTTTCTAACAAATGATTTTTTATAGTACTTGTAACAGTAATGGTTTTTAAGTTGTATGAATTTATTGTATTTAATCATTTTTTTTTGCATAGAGCTATACGTAAGGCCTACCTTTCTATGAAAATTTAACCTCTGAATCAGAAGTCTACAATAAGCAGCTATTAATTTTCCATAACCTTCTTTTAGATGACCCTGAAATGATGTAAATGGATTAGTTCAGGTGTTTCTCTGAATTCTATAACAATTCTTCATTATATACAGATTCTGATTTCAACAAGTAAGAAAGATTTCCTATGTAATACTAGTATGATTTGATAGAATATTCAAATTACGCTATTGATCAAATCTAAAGTAGCTTACCCAAAGTTTTCCTAAATCTTTTAAATGTGTTCTGTACTTCATAGAATCACTCACCACCTATAAAACAAAGATATTCAATTTCTAAAAAGGGATAAGGGATTACATTCAGATCTTTGTCAGATTTGGAGGGCTAACACATCCGATCTTCCCAACATGATCTAAGGTTTTTGGGGTCCTGTTTCACAACAAAATCTTACACCTACAATTTTTTTTAATGACAATTTGAAATCAGTTTAATTCATCAAATTCATCTGTCATGGGTGTACGAATGCCTGACAATTTAGTTTGCAAATTGATACAAGACTGGCAAAAACAATCTAATCAACACCCCTGATGGACATGTTATTTACAACAGACAAATAAATAAAAGGAAGTATAGAAACAAGTAGAAGGTGTTGACTCCACCTACTAAAGTAAATAAGTGGACAACAAACACGAAGGATTTTAGGTGGTCTTTAAACAAACATAGAAAATAATGTCAATAAATACAAAACAAACACAAAATAAACTTACATTTTGATGTCCATCTCTCATCAACTTATGAAGAACATGACAAAATTTCCAACAAACAATTGGACTACCTTGTAATGGTAATTTGCCAGTGATAGTCCAGAACGTACTTGCCCCTTGATCTTGGAAACTGCCCAATATTGTATCTTCATACAGTTAAGGATATGCAATGATAAATTAATCAATATAGACCAATAAACATATCAAAAGCTATGTATATTCTCTAAAAGGAATGCTAAAATCTAAGAGTTGACAACCTCAAAAGCACAGTGGAATATGGTGTTCTGGAAAGGAGAGCCAGTCTGGAGCTGCTATTTGGCTGGGGTGTTCTAAATCAGAATGAAAGTTGTTAAATCCTAACTGGAATGATGGGGTAAAAACAAAAGTTAATAAAAAAAATGAAAGTTTGGTCTTCATTAGACTGCAGTAATATTAAACAACAGGGCATTGCTTGTCAACTTTCAAATCTAAATGAGTCTTCTATGTGGTGATTTCTTAGAGAAAATATGATATTTTAACTGTATTATATAATTGAGAGAATTTATTTCACAAATGAGTGCAAACATTCTGAAGTGGTATCTTCCTTTCAAGTTGAAGTTTCTAGCATTTTTATAAATCTACAAGTGATTTCTCCACAAATTCTCCTTTTTTGACCACGACTGTGTTTTTTTAAATTTGTCTGTTCATTATTCAGTATGATCTTATTCAAATTATGACAAAAATCATTAAAATTCAGAAAAATTGTACCCTTTTCTGTAATCATTAATTTGTCAAGTGACTGAATTAACTTTAAATATCTGTGGCCTACAGTTTATAGGTAAGTACTTATAATGTTATATTTTATTGTCATGTACTTTATTCAACAAAAAACAGAAGCTATATACCATCTGGTAAATATAAACTACATCTACTCCAGATGTTTATTACAACCACTTTAATACTACAAAACAATGATAAACATGACACATGACAACATACTACTGACTCAACCACAAAAAATTTGACAATTGTTTCCTTTAAAGGCAATGTTTAGCCAAATAATATCTTCTACCATTTTCACTGTATTGGGAGATCCATCTAACTCGGTTAAGATGAAAAACTAAAGCGCCTTGCTTAAAAATAATATTACTATCAACTGTCCAAGATATATTTCAAATTGACTGATCAAATTGTGGTGATATATTATTCTTTAATCGTAGGAGAACCTTAAGTAAGATTTTAATTCTAAAAAAAGATGATGAAGAACTGAATTTGGTAAAATATTTGGAAGATTGTATCACTACAAAATTTTGTTTACTTAAAACATAAAATCCAACTAGGTTTTGTCTAATAAAAGACAAAAAAATTTCCATGTTTTTGCACTTCTGGGTTGACTTATATAGCGTTTTTTGTAATAAATCAATAAACTTGAATAATGTGCTTGTTTTAAGAGCTCCAATATCCAATTAATTTAACTTGAATACCTATTTGCATTCAAATAGAACATATCCAGTTTCATGAATATACAAAGTAAAGGGGTTCTGTATGCAGGGCTGTTGATTTATTCTTTTATCAACCGAACATTTTTCTACGACCTGTGAAATCTGATCTCAATTTTCTTCGGAGAGAAGGTCTATTATATACTGGTATGGTACCACTACTGACATGATGTTTGGCAAAAGAAATGAATGGAGTTTTACGTCCTACTCTTCTGCACCTTGTGGGCTAATGAAGACGGGCAGGGTGCCATGAGGGAAATTTTGCCAGGACAGTGACATTAGCCTGCTCTTTTTAGATTTCCAACTGTCGAGGGATCTTTAACATGTACAGCCTGCAGCACACAGGGCCTTGGTTTATTGTCCCATCCGAACGACTAGATGCTTTTTCCATGTCAGCCCCTCTTACCTGCATCACTGACAGGGTGAAACCGGGTTGAAAAATCCGAAGTTATTATCTCGACCTATGCCGGGATTGAACCCTGGACCTTCAGGTTAGCGAGCAAGCGTCTAACTCACTGAGCCACCACGGCTCCCTTTGGCAAAAGAGACCTTGACAGAGTGGTTAACTGTGTCATTTTACCACAGATTGTATGTATGACAAGGGAATTAACTTTATATGTAACATAGTGCTCAAATTCAAACTTGACATTTTCTTAAAATATTTGTACATTCATTCAAGTTTCGGATGTAGGCATATATATCTGAACTATATTTGATGTCTTCATCAATGTGTCATCATATAGCCTACATCAAAGTTTTAACAAGATAAAATGTAGTACAGACAGGAAATATGACTCAAGAAAAGCTTTAACAGGAAAGTTTCATTTTGTTAGTCAGCCGATTTTTTTTTTTTTAACTTAAACAGCATTCTTAGCAAAACAGATGTGTTCTGTATATTACAGAAAAAAATTTGAACCCATCCTTACTTGTATAAAGTTTCTATTGGGGTATACCCTTTAAACATTTTCTATCATAAGTAGCTAATATGCATATTTCTATGTTGCTTATTTCTATGTTGCCTATTTGCACGTTGGTGTTGATAAAGGATACTTCTAACATGTTTTTCTTTTACTGGATTTTCACTGTTGTTTATAGCTTTATGGATTGCATTTGTCTGAAAAAAAAAACAGAAAAAGATTAACAGCATGAGTATTATATGAAATCTATATACAAGTTATAGCCAATTATTTCTGGTTCAATAATTATGCTCAAAGTAAAGGGATTTAATAGAGGATTTCAAACATTGGATTATATCATAAAAGATACTATGTCTCTAAATTGCACTGATTCAGTATTCCCTTTTGATGTCCAGTAATACCAGAAAAACCTGATTTCACTATCCTTCAATACCTTTCAAAATCAAATATGTTTTTGTCATAGTATCATCATGGTCTCTTTATCTGGTTTCCACATATAACTTATAGGAAATAAGTATAATGTACATAGAAGCTATGAGCGTTCAGAACACACAGCTAGAATACCTCTAATTAAATCCCTTTAACACACTACCTTGCTCTATAGTACATACATATTGTACAGTAATTATTTACTAGTATCATACTATACAACGCTTCATTGCTCACTTTGATCTCAACCTCAATTTCCAAACAAAACAACAATCATAATGACTTATTATTAAGAACAGACACAATCCAAACCTTTTGATTCTGATTCATAGTGAATACATCCAACCTACTAGATATCTCTGAATTTTACATAATTCTATAAAGTTTAGATATACATCTGGCCTATTTCTATGCCATTATTGATTTATTTAATCAATAAGATTATTTATTGCAAATATCCTATATATTGGTTTGAAACTTGCTGACTATCATAGATATTTCTGATGGATATCGACACTGTGTATATTTATAGTATTGTGTAACATATCATTTGAATTTTGATGGCCTGTACACTGTACATCTCATGGTCATGTATTTGATCACAGCAACATAATCTGTTCATATAAGACACATGTACATGTGTATTATTGAAGAAATTGTACATCAAAATGTTGTGTAAATTTTTCATTATATAAGCTTATTTTTCTTCAGTGTCATTCATTATATTATCCCCATGGACGGAATGTTAAACAGCACTATGTCCTTGTGTATTGGACCAAATACTGACCAATATAAAATTATGAATTGATTAATGATCATTTATCTATATTCATTTGAAATTTGATATTGATATCGCTGACTTTTTTCTGTTGAATTTAGCATGTTGTTGATTAATAACATACAAATATAGTAGCATTGATTGCTAATGTATTGAATTTACTAGCATGTATAAAACATTAATTATTAAAATAATTAACAACAACATGTTATCTAATATCATATCATAGCCTGAAGCCTGTTATATGATTACTATGTTTATTTATATTGATCATATCATTACATGAATTTAATTATGAGTGCAATTTGAAACTTAACCATAAGCTTATGTAGATAATTAAAACGATAAAGCCTTCTAGTTTAGTTATTAAACATTATCTTATAATAGGGCTGGGCGATATACTGGTATCTTAATAATAAATACCGGAAAAGGAATTTATTTAGTAATATCACATGATTAATAAATACTGAAATATCACCATATCGTGATATATAGTTGTTGTGATATATCTTCAAATATTTGTCCAGAAAAGATTATCTACGCAATTTTAACAATTAATGTAATATTTGCAACACATGCTTTCTTCGTGATATTAAATACTGCTTCATACTTAATATCATGATATCCACTTGAACCAATATCACCCTGTCCTATTTTATAACTACTTTTAAATTATACAACAATGTGAGTAAAGTTTCAGAAACAAGCTACAGCTTATGCTAATTTGCTACTCAAGCTCCCCAGTTTGATTATGATTACAAACAGTATAGAAATAACAAAACTACTCCTGATATCACACTGTAATTATTGGAAAGGTAACCTCAGAAAAAACTATATTCAGAATTTAGGATATTTTAGCAAATTATAGTCAAATGAAGTTTTATAGGTGTGAGAAGCCATTTAGCATTTAAGAGCTTTGAAAGACCTATATTCTCTAACCACTATGTTGTCTGGCAATCTGAATTGAATTTTATCAATGCTTGCAGGACAATTCAAATTGGTATAATAATAAAGGTGGCTAAAAATAATAATCAACGATCTTATGAGACTGGGGTTTTCCTTGTGGAAATGACATATCTGGGATAGATAAGAGAAATATTAAGGGAATTTAAGTTTTATGGGAACATGGTCATGGATTTACCTACATCTCACATTTTCCCGCTCTCCTGCATCTAAATCACACACGTTTTTTAAATGGTAAGTATTATAGTACCAGTAATGAGCAACGTCAAAATAAACAATATTATAATGCAATTGAGAAAAAGTGTTAAATTTTGAAAGGGAATTATTCCACAAATTGCCTGAATTTACCTCACCCACCCCATTTATGCCTATTAATTATTAATCATTTAAAGTTAACTTGAGTTATGCAAATGAAATTGTGTATAAACATATTGTGTCTCGTTCTGCAGGCCTACAGTTATTATCGGGTTTCATACAACAAGCAACAACATGTATTCAAGCAAATTAGTGCATATTGCGAAACATCTTCTCCGTGTAAGATAAATAAAAAAAAGATTTTAGTTTAAATTAACTAGTTAATGCCAACAACTACAATGTAGAATCAGAATGAAGATAAAACTATAGGAACAGGCCTTATCAGAACCCCTATCTTGTCAAATATGCTTCAATACATAGAGTAGGTTACCTTAAAACTAAAAAAAAAGTTATAGAAGGATAGAAAGAAGAGGATATGACAAATGGGATAAATAAACAAAATACATGATTATGATCTAAGCCTGGATAGACAAATCAAAGGGCCATACACTCACCTGTCTGCGCTCAAAACTTTCACGTTGTACCTCCAGAGAGCTCTTTCCTCTTTGACTTACAACTCTTGGCAAGTGTAATGATGACATTGTTGGATTAAAAAACAGATAAAAATCTTGTGTATACTCAGTCTATTGACATATTAATGATTTTAACAACAATCCGATACACAGTGCGACATTTCACTCCCTCTTCCGGTAAAAACTTCATAAAGGGAAGCAAATCTTGAAGAAGAGTAGGTGCGTCTTCTAACTCAAATGAAGCAAATCATCTGGAAATTTCCAAAACATCCTATTGGTTTAGGCCATAGATTTATAATAAGAACTATTTATAACTCTATGGTTTAGGCCTACTTCTCTGCAATGTTAATCACATGTAAAATTTCCGTTCACTTGTTTTAGATATTGGAAATATTTCTTTTTTCTGTTTATTTTTTCGAGCAAATTTCATCATAATTAAGCTACATTTTGAAAAGTGACACAGATAGGCCAACTTTATAGAGCTTTGTTCTGTTAGTTGATTTCGTCAAGGTTTAAATCTCACATATTCGCCTAGACAAACAGGCCTAGGTGCTTCATTTCTGAATTTTTGATCCATTGGAATCATATTATTTCTCAGAGGTAAAAAAAAAATAGAAGTCTCGACGAAGAAATCTACTATCATTTCTAAGATCCCAAGCGACGTAAAAAGGTGATCGAGACATTTTCAAATTTTATCACTAAGTCGGACACTCACGAAGTTAGGGTCCTAAATTTTACACTTTGATTCATAAATCACGAACCGAACGCCTAATATTTTAGGGATAGACAAGAGGCTATATATCAAACATTATATAAAATCCCCTTTTCGAAATCAATAATTTTTTACACAAAATTGCGGAGTTTTGTCCACTTAGATACGAGTAATTCCGAACAAAACGTGACTCTTTACGACAGAATGTGCCGACTGATTAGACCAATTATCATCAATCAGTGTTAATCAGGTTGAATTTCGACTCAGAAGTTAATAGCCAACGTCGATTGGATAAAGCATTTATCAATCTTATCAATGTGGGTAATCCCATGAACCTTTGGCCTTGGTCTTCAGGTCGAAAATGGCCCTTCTCATAAGAGTGTGAATGTTCGATTTCTTGTTCGACGAGTGTGGTTTCTTTAATCCCTCACAAAAAATGCATAACCACAGCTGCATTTTAGGCCTACCATATTACTGGCTTCCCGATATTGTCAAGTCAATGTTAACTTCTCTGCAACCTTAGATGTAGGGCGGAAAATAGGCCCCATGCATTCCTGATGTAGGCTAGGCCCTACATTTGGCCTACCTAAATATAGGCTACACAAGACCGAAGTGTGATTGCATTTATCCAATATTGACATTGCATAACAAACAAAGCACTCACGCAATCAGTCACACCCTTCAATATCTCTACCCCACTTTTGCTTCAGAAAAAATAGTAGTGGTCTGAATTCATTTCAATAACTTGATTACTTCCCTTATTCATTACGCTTCAAGTTCGAGAGCATAGCGCCCAATACCACTGCCATTTCAGTCACTGATGAGAAACATTAAATTTCGAGAACAAGCCGGTAGCTTTCGGAAACCACTCACTCTACATACAAATTAACTTAAAGGAAGAGGTGTCTTTGACAAATCGTAGCCTACCTTAGTCTAAGATACGGGAATTCTTTAGCTGAACTTATCAGTAGGCCTAGCCTTATGTGTTCACAGCTCACCATCGAAAGTTGACGAGGTTGAGATTCAAAATTCGGAAGTTACGAGAAGGTGCAAAGGCGCCTGAGAAGGTTATCCCTCGAGAAAATTTGTGAAAACAGAAATGATTTTGTGCGTTCTGCACGGTTTAGCTGTTCATGCTACGTAGGCCTACAATCCAATCAAATAGCTGCATTTACAATCTTCCGTGATAAAAGAATAAGTAGCATATGATACTAAGGTAGGCTACTACTTTGTCATTGTGAAGATGATACATTCGATATTTAAAGGCTAACTTTCACGATGATACCCAAGGAATACCCCAAAAACTATTAACTTTAATATGCTTATAATACTTTATTTCAATTTTACATCATGCACTTTTCTTGAATGAAATCAGATAAATTAACTTTTAAAAGCTCACTGAACAATGTTTAACAAGTGGAGACCACAATCTGAAATAAAACAAAACAAGATATATAATTATATAGACAATCATCGATTCAATGTAGAGATAGTTCTATTTTGGAGAAAAAATATCTACGTTTGTTGGTAAATCGCATTCAACGATGCTTATTGGAAATTAGCTATAAATAATAGAACCTAGTGATCACAGATTGACTTTGTGTTGATTAAACACGCAAACATTGGAAACTAATTTTATTGTTTTCACAGAGGGCAAGTTAATATTTTGGCAAACTTACAAAGTTTGTAATTGTATGAATCGAAAGTCATCACTATCACTGAAGATAATATAGTTGCTTCAGAAATGATGCTTAGCCTTCCATAAGAGAATATTAACGTCACTACTAACAATTTGAAGATGGCGGGATTACTGCCAATTATCGCCTTTCATACATGTGAATTTCCTCATTCTGTGGCTAAACACCCATCATTATAATGGAATTTTGACGAAAAAGCCATATGAGCTCTTGTCAATACTCAAACTCTATACTTACATAATCTATCCAGCCTCTGAAGTCTTTGAAACCTTCACTATGACCCAGTTGGAAAGCACATTGTGATCTTCTGGGCAAATCTAAAACACAGAAAATAAGGACTAAATGCAGTAATAAAAACGGAGGAAAACCGACAAAAACATCTTTAGTGGTTTTCATCCAATGTTCATATGTAATATGATATTTTAAGATTAGACAGTTAGAATCCAATCCAAAGTCACTAACAAGCTGTTATTTGATGAGATTTCTCTTAAAAGGATTGTGAAAAGTTTTTATAAAGTTTTTATGTGTATCGGGACACTGATAAAATCAATTTGCACCATTCTAATTTCCAATCAGACGTCAGTAGTTCCTGCAATTCCAATAAAACTAAGTGTTTTATGACGTCACTAACCACAAAATATGCTTTATTGCATAATCACATAAGGCTCTTCACGATCATTGACGTCATCAAACATTTACTTTTGGTAGAATTGCAGGAGCCACAGACGTCTGATTGAAAATGGAAAATGTGCAAATTGATGCTTTCAGTGTCCCCAATACAGATAATTTTTTTTTGGAAAACATCTTTACTCCCTTCAAGTCGATAAAAATAATCTTACCACTGATTGCAAAACTCTTTAGCCCTGATTTACCATTCATTACGCTTTTAATTTCACCGTTCTCAAACGTATATTCAATCTCTCTCCATTCAGCCTAAAAAAAAGAAATATCACAGTAATTTGTTGACCATTTTACAATTAAAAGAACGCAGAAGACGGAGCTTAGTGGTCGATCAGTTTCAGTGCCATGGAATTTGGTTTTGAAGTTTGCACCAGATGTCATGACCTGCATAGAAACTGCTATGCAAGATATATCAGAACTCTTTTCCGTTAAGAGTAGTTCATGCTGATCAACTCTTCAGATCTCAATAACACCAAGGTCCTCACTTATTTTCAAAATGCAATAGTATAATTTTACCCAAATCTCAAGGTTTTGGACAAATAACAATGAAGATGCTCTTGAGTATTTGGGATGGAACCAGAAGCATTTTTTCTTACCTCCGTAATATCATGTAAAGCAGCTCTTTGATTTTCAGCATTAATTACACCGAGTGAGGCAACAGCGCCATTATTAATAAGGTTAATAGTAGCTTCTTCACCACAGTCCCCATTACTAAGAACCGCTTCAGTATTATTAGAGTTGAATGGTTTGTATCTTGAAGATCAAATTATTAAATAAACAGAGAGAAAAACATTAATGGTGCAATATGCCTTTAAGAGGGTTTTATACATGCGGCTACGTGGACTGTGTTCCGCGTGGCATATCTTTTTCCGAGTGTTAACATACATGGCTAGTAATGATGCAGTTACTATTGTTGTTGCCAAATCCACAATCAGACAAGGTCACATTAACTCGACTTGTCAATACAAGACATACCTCATCACATAGCCTATCGATTATAACGTTTCAACACCATCGGCCAAAACGGAGGTGAGGCAACGGGCCTGGTAGTTGCAATCAAACGCATATTTTTTAAATTGAACTGTTCTGCATTGAATACACTTTCATCTGTATATCTTACCTGATTAAGATAGAGAGTTTGGTAGTAAATTCGACATTGGACAACCTGAGGATTTTGATATTACTATTACCATCAAAATAGGCTAGACCACCCTTGACTACAGCTCCGTAGTTATCATATTCTCCGGGTTCTGCTCCATTGAAGTCAATATCAACCAACGGGGTACAGGATCTAGCTGTTGAAAGAATTGAAGTGAACAATAATTAGATGGAACTGTCAACCCATGTCTGGACAGAACTCCCGAACTTAGAGTTGGTCAGAAGCTTAACTCACTGAGTCATCGCTCTGCATCGTTAAGTACCACTGCAGAGGTATAAAGTGAATAAATCAGGTGAGCTAAACTGTTACAGTCAGAAAGATCGTAAGATAGGAAATGTTTATTCCCATTTAATATGAAATCACAGGGAAACCGCTTATTGCATGCTTAAATCCTCCTGATTGTTTTTTTTCTGAAAGGTATTACAGCTGAGAACCTTTTATTGGGTTGGAATTCTCTGACGAAAAACAGACGAAGAGACGCCATAGCTTTCTACTGTACTTTCTTTTCGGTTTTTTGATCCCAACCAGAGACATAACACTATAGGTTACACTTACGTCTACACCTATTAGGACTAGCATAGACACATCCGCATTGTCTTTGTGCGAATCTAGTTCCTCGTGGACAAGGCATGGTCCATCCTTGATTACCTAATGTCCAATAATAGTAACATTTGGTACCAGGAACACTCCAGAAATTACATTCATCTACAATACAAATGCAAAATCTCTATATACACCGCAAGGTACAAACGAAAATGCTATTGTTATGATATAGAGGACGGGCATACGGATAATAAAACGTGCAAAAATGCCGTCTGTCATGGTTCTTAACCATAGTAAGTAAGGAGAATCTTTTGAACGGCCAACGTTCTCAATGCAACCAATCTTTTCACGGCACAGAATCGCCCAGCAGACGAGAATCGGACCCGCTGCCGACTGAGTGCTAGAAGATGATGATTCGATGAAAAATATTAGACAAAACCATGAAATATGTGCAATGAGAAAATAACAAACTTACTATTTCCTCCAATTGATCCTCCAGTAGTACATGAAGCATCTTTCAGACAAATTTCATCTCCTTCGACAAAGGAATATCCAACTCGACATTTATTAGGTTGAGATCGTCCATTTACACATTCAATATACTCAGCACAGTTTCCTCCCAATTTGTAATATTTAAGCTCTTTTACAAGTGCACATCGATCTGAAAGTAGAAAAAAAAAATACTGATCTGGATCATTTGCTCTTTTGGTTCGTTTTTAGTTATAAGTGTATGAGGTCATGAGAAGAACCCAAGACGCCCTGTCATATATAATATTTTCCCTGCAGTTTGTGTTCAATTTCATATTCTACAACACAAGAACACCTGGTAATATGGTGATATGTACGTCTTGCATGACCGACAGGGCCAAAAATTCGACCCGCATCCCCTCCCACACACATACACACACATTGGGTGGGAAATTTCATCACCTGTCCTGGAACCTTTGGATAAGTACGGGACCGATTTGTCGGTGTGAGAATAACTTGATTTACAGCTCGGTTCTTTTCTGCTCGCGGAACCGTAGTTTTTGCTTAATAAATTAAATCCTCAATGGCTTACTAACTGCTGATTCAGAGCCCCCGAACCCAAACGTATGATAATTTTACATTAAGTTAGTCTCACCATTAGGACAATTGATTTTGGACATATGATCACATGTAAGTTTGTCTTGGTTCCAGAAGGTTCCAGTTCCACAAGTTTGAACAAAGAAGCCGGTGAGTCCTCCATCTCTGAAAAAACATTGGACGAATTTGTGACATTCTTCATGACTGTTGTATCCAATACCGTTGCTCATACGACATCCACTACATGGTCCGTCTGGTTTTATTGGAGGACTGGTTGATTCTGGTGTTGCATCTGGTGCTGACTCTGGTGTTGGTGCTCGTGTTGTAGGCTTTTGTGTTGTTGGCTTTGGTGTAGTGGTGGTTGTAGTAGTGGTTGTTGTAGTGGCTATATAAACAAAGAAAGGGTAATTTAATCTTTTAATTTTGACATAAAAACCAAAAAGTCCGGTATAAGGTTAGGATTATCCATGAAATATAAAATAAAATGGCATAAACAAAAACGCAGTACAATAATTGGACCTCGGAGCATTGTGTTTTAGGAATCAATAAATCCATTTATTAATAGTAAATAATTTACTCGATTCGAGTCGCCAATTGAAAAGATTTCATTCAATAGACCTGAGCAAGATACCAAAAATCTTAACACAAATTATTTTGTTATTTTAAATTTTTTTATGGTTTGAAAGCCTATATCTGAATGTCAGTCATTCTGATAAATGGGGATTTTAACTATCAATTGCAATCCATTTGATTTAATCGATTTATTTAATTGAAATTCATTCTGTTTAGCCGTATTTACACGGAATTTAGGCCTACTTTCTTTTCTTACAACAAATCAGTGCTGTGCCTCACATTTTGCACGACTAGTAGACCAGTTGGTCTTTATTCGAAACTGCGTATTCTCCTTATTCTTTGCTCTTTCATATTTGTATTTGTGAGATTCGTGAATTTTTAGCGGGACAGTAAAAATATGACCCAAAATATTTTTGGCCTTTTTGGCACCATAATTGTAAGACAATAACCAAACTTACTCAATGAAAATAAAAATGTCTCTTTTTGGTGAAAAAAGCAAATTCACACAATTTACGTAAAATGCCACTAAAATTTCTGGACTGTCGTCATTATAAGGACAGATGCGCCATTTTTGACCAATCATACTTACTCTTAGAAATGGGTATTTTTTTAGCTAAGCCAATCAGTGATAGTGTTCACAGCTCACCGTCGAAATTTGAGCCTTCAAATCCACGTGTGTCCAGAAATACCCGTGTTTGAAAGTTAAAAATACGAGTCCTCTTTTCTTGAGACACTTCCATATATAGAAAAGAATTCTATAGAAATAGGAAAATAAATTTTTAGTTTGAGATATTTTGAAGGCTATTTACATATATTCAAGACTCAAATCCCCCTCCCTCCAAATGGCGCATCTGTCCCTTTAAATGTATACATCAGTTCTCTACTTACTAGGACAGATTTGAATCGCAAGACTAGCGATTAATTTGGCAAAAGCTTCAAAATCCTCTATAACATAAGCCTGATCTGGTTTGGAAGCTATTCCTTTTAATTCAGCATCCATTATTCTGGCACCAATACCAATAGCAAACATGTTCACTCCCATATCTTTAGCTATCTGAGCTTGTTTCAAAGTTAGTTCCTTCTCGTGTGATGCTCCATCTAGAAAGAAGGTTTTCAATGATACAAGCAACTGTAATAAAGTTTCCCAAATCCTCTGAAGACAAAATATGTTTTGGATCAACTGATTTTGGTAGCTGTTCTCTAACTATTGTGCTGGGATCTATATTCTAATAGGGCAATAGGGCAATTTGGCTTTTCATAAGAATCGATATAGGATTTTCAGTAAATATGTTTTGGATTAACTGATTTTGGTAGCTGTTCTCTACAAATTGGCTGGATCTAATGACTGACAATAAGCTAAATGGCTGGATCTAATGACTGCCAAAAGGCTAAATATTTATGGTCATTTGGCTTTTCATAAGAATCGATATCGAATTTTTAACATTTTTTCAACCTCTCTCCAAAATAAAGAACGTAAATGAACAAACCTGTAATTACGATTCCGGCTTTAGGAACATCTGATCGACCCTTTCTTATAAATACATTAATCATTTCTTCAATACCCAGATCTGTTCTAGTTCCAGTTCTAGGATGATCCATATTTAGCATGGCTTCTACAAGTTTTTCTTGATCTCCGGACATTTCAATGACTTCAGAAACAGCACTGCTGTAAACAACGGCACCAAAATGTTTGTTGTTCTCTTCCACCCCTAATTGTCGAACGAATTTGCCCATAACTTCTCGAATGGTTTGGAATTCATCTGGGAAGATTGTTTCTGACCCATCAATAACAGCTACTACATCTAATAGATGTTCACATTGTTCATTTTCAGCATATAATCCTAGTAGAAAAAAAGGAAACAATTATGTATATATACATGGGAGTTCATTTTGGCCTTTGTATGTGTTTTGGTGACAGTTATGGCTTCTATGTGAACAATTCCTATTTCGGGATATTTTCGATAGTCATAAAAATCAACAATGAACAGGAAACAGAATGGTGTAAATGGAAACTATTAGTATCCCCTAAACCCTCTTTTCCCAACCTGGGCTGTTTTCACCCCTTGGGGTGTCAGGGGTGTGACCAACTGGTGTAGGAGAAGAATTTGTTTTGAATTGAGAGAGCACCACACATCAGCACATGCGGATGTGGATGAAACAAACTTTAAAAGGTCCAGGTGATTGCTTCAGGGGTGTGAAGGCCGAGAAAGAAAGGTTGTTTTTGTATCCCCATATTGCCCAGAAATCTTTGACCAGAGTTTACACTCTACGATTGCAAAAGTTATGTTATATAATTACACATTTTGTTCTGGAAAAATACAGACTGAAAAGAATCAAGGTTTTCTGAAAGTTGATAATGCTTTTATAATTCATATTAACCTACCTGAACAGCTGTGACTGATAACAGCAACTACTAAAATAGCTAGAAGATTCATCTGAAATACACAAATAAATGAAATACCAAAAGGACGTTGTCAGCATCTTGTTTTAGAGTTGACAAGCAATATCTCTTGTTGTTAAAACAAACTATAATGGATTGATCATTCCTAAACATTTATTATTGTGAAAATGCTAAAAATGCACCCGAAACATCTGACGCCAAAGTGCGACTGTTAATTCGGTGTCCAAATAGCACAGATTATAGACCATTACATAAAATGTAAAACACTAAGACACATAAAAACTATCTTACCTTTTAGGTTTGAAAATGAGACTTTTTGTACACCTCTTCTGACGATACATAACCACCCCATGTTTATATATCCTTTCTGCCTCTATAAATCTTCAGATCAGAGGCTTACCCCCTAGATTAAAAACAGAGATAAAACGTAAAAAAAATACCAATACTTATTTTTAGGTAAAATATTGTTAGGTAATTTATGTCTTCTTTTTTATTTGAGGGAATTCAAATCCTGGTTGAAGTTTATTGGCAAAATATTTTTTTTATAAAAGTTTATTCATACGTGTCGTATGTGACCAGGATGTTAGAAATATATTACTAAACATACCTAGTCTTACACTGTTACTTAACATACATAGTCTTACAATGTTACTAAACATACCTTGTCTTACAATGGTTATAAAAATACCTAGTCTTATAATGTTACTAAACATACCTAGTCTTACACAGATACCAAACATACCTAGTCTTGCAGTGTTACTAAACATACATAGCTTTACAATGTTACTAAACATACCTAATCTTACAATGGTACTAAACATACCTAGTCTTACAACAGTACTAAACATACCTAGTCTTACAATGTTACTACACATACCTAGTTTTACAATAGTACTAAACACAAGTAGTCTGACAATGATACTCAATACCAAACTAATATTACAATGGTACTAAACATACCTAGTCTTACAATGGTACTAAACATACCTAGTCTTGCAACAGTACTAAACATACCTAGTCTTACAATGTTACTACACATACATAGTTTTACAATAGTACTAAACACAAGTAGTCTGACAATGATACTCAATACCAAACTAATCTTACAATGTTACTAAACATACCTAGTCTTACAATGGTACTAAACATACCTAGTCTTACAACAGTACTAAACATACCTAGTCTTACGATGTTACTACACATACCTAGTTTTACAATAGTACTAAACACAAGTAGTCTGACAATGAATCTCAATACCAAACTAGTCTTACAATGGTACTAAACATAATTAGTTTTACTATTTTTGATTATATTTAAGGTTCTGAACCTATATTAGTTAAGTTATATCTTGAAATTCTAATATCAATTAAATCGTATAAAGCAAAGTTCCTTTAAGAACCTCCAGACAGGCCCGAAACTGTCGCCTATATCGTCTGATAAGCGAGTAAGCGTCTGACAGGGAAGCACTTGAGACTTTCTTTCGTGGTTTTTTTTTTTGCCCATGGGGTCATAATATGAGTGCATCTTACTTTTAAGGGTGACAGCCTGCAGATTTCAATATGTAAAGAAACATATATGGGGACATTTTTGAATAGAACTTATGCATTTTTTTTTGTTTTTTGCCCATGGGGTCATAATATGAGTGCATCTTACTTTCAAGGATGACAGCCTGCAGATTTCAATATGTAAAGAAACATATGGGGAATTTTGTTTTAATAGAATCTTATGGTGAATCAATGTGAAATTTGCTTTTTCGCCATTAGGGAAACTTTGAAAAACAAATTTCTTGTCTTGGACATAGCAAAGCCAATATCCTATATTTCATGTTTGGTGCCATCAAAGTCAAGCTTGTTTGGGGGTGAGTTTCTTGATGTCCTGGATCCATCGGTAAAGGTTTGGTCGACATAAATTTGGTTCATTTGATTGCAGACAGTCCCCCTTTTTGAGTTAAGAAATTAATGTTCTCCGATACTCTCTTGCGTTTTTTACAAAGTCGTGACAATGTTTGTCAAAGTCAACAATTTTTTTCAAAACAAACTTCAAAGCAATGTTGTATATCAATTTAATGTTCAAACATTTATTTGTGTACACATAGATAGCAAGTTTAAACAATAAATAGTTTTCTGATATTATTTTAAGAGGCTATATTTTTTAATCAAGTCGATTGCGTCCTGTTTAACTTTTTTAAAATCAAATATAGATCCTGCAATGATGCATGGTTATTTTCTGGATAAATATGCAAATATAAGATAATTTATAATTTTGAACTTTGGCTGATTGCAATCTTACTTTTGTTTGTGATGGAATAATTTTGTTCTTTTCGTTATAATATGTGTACATCAGAATAGGGTTTGACCATTCAGTTGTATGGTTTGACTTTATCAGAACAAATCCGACCTCGAAATATTCTTCTTGTTGGTCCTGTTTTCAATAAAGATCAAATAGGCCTAAATATTGTTAGCTTTTTCTCATTTTTATTTGTGGTTCAATAATAGATTTGCCTCCCTTACATCTATTTTCTCAGCAATTACGAATATTTGACAATGGTGTTGTAAATTCGATAAGATTTGAACGACATATTTGATCTGATGACAACACGTGTATATTGTGTTGAAACGTTATGTGCCTGCCCAACCTTACTAAAGAACTGTGTTATATTCCATAATATTGTCTTGTGTTTTGTTATACTGTAAATACGTAAGCGTGCAAGATTGGTATATTTTCGATTTATTTGTAGTCTGATGTAAGTTAAATAATAGATTTGCCTCCCCTGCACCGTTGAACTTTGTCAAAGAACAATATTTCGGTAATGGTGCTCTAAATACAAAAGCGTGCACGCACGTGTACATGTCACGCGGTAATAACATTTAAAGGAAAACACACGAATCTTTCAATAATGTCTATATAATTTTGGACCAAATTGGTTGATCATTTAAAATGATGTTAAATTTTTGAATATATTATATAAATGAGCATTTAATAAAATATTCTACGTTTAAGAGTTCTCCAAAATCAAATTCAAAATCTTCTGACAGAAATCAAAATAGTTCGCAGTGGGAAACTGTTTCAAAATAGAGACTGATATTTATTTGCAAAGAGAGTACTTGTGTTTCACTAAGCAAATAAGAATTCTTTGTTTTATACAAATTTCTTCGTTTGAAAGTAGCCACTGGAGTCAGAAATATGGCTGTTCCGTTCTACTCCCTACCATATCCAAATTATGTTCAAAATTAAGAACAATATGCCCTGACAGTTTATATATTCCACATTTCCATCATGCATATTGGTTCCTCTTCTAATATCGTCGGCTAATTACTAAATTAATTTAGGCAAACAGTTTTTTATCAAAGGATGGCTTTTTTTTATTTAGGGAGGTGAAGGGAAGAGCTGAAAGGGGTGTGACAGTTTTCTGACAGCCCATGCCGGTCGATTGTGACAATTGCACCCGGATATAGTTTGAGGACATTGCACGGTAAGATAGTTTTTCTTTGTATATTATCTTATGTAAACAAGAATTATATTTTTCAAATAAACGAGTCAATGAATGAATCTGTCCACGAAAATATATCTATCAATTTTAAATGTAGATAAATTTGTAGTGGGAGTGTGAATAAATGTAATGACTGTGTCCGCTGACTGATGCCAAAAGCTGAAAAGGCATTGAACTACTGATTAGTCATCAGTCATAAAGGTGATGCTTGGTTTAGAACAATCAACGATTTAAATCTAGACTAGATCCCAGCCATTACTGATATTGCCATTGTCTCAAGTCAGAGAAAACAGCCTTGGTTACTGGGTAAAGTGTTTACATTACTAGACATCCAATTGATTTTCACTTTGATGAAAAAGAATTTTATAGTTTCATTAATATACAATAATATTGATGACTTTATATCATATTTGCCTGTCATATCCTTTGTTGTGAAGGCACATAGAACTTAATGCCAGCAAATGTAGTTACCAAGTAGCCTAAATGACTTTTCTGCTGGTGCCAATGTAGCCCATACATGACAAAAGACAGGATTTAACATTTTGGTAATTTTTTTTTAAAATGTCTGTTAATATAAGCAATATCATGGTGGATTTTTTACACCTGTTCTTGATTTATAAAATGTGTAGGAGTCAGATGGAATTAAACCTTTGATACAGCACTGAGCATATCTTGTCATTAAGTTAAGACATTTTATTTTTATCCATTTTGTATAAGATCATGGTCTATTTATAGGTTCGTGTAATGTTTTTTTGATATGCTTAATGCTTTGTGAAAACCAATATGATATATTGCTTGATTTTTTTACACCTTGATTTATAAAATGTGTATGAGTCAGATGGCATCAAACCTTTGATACAGCACTGGGCATATCTTGTCACTAAAGGTAAATTGATTGTGTAATCAAGATGGCCTGGTTTCGCAATTTAGGAACATTTTTAAAAGTCAATCTTAACAATGGTCAAGGTATAAGATCTTATCTTAAGGTGAAGACATAATACCTTGACCATTGTTAAGATGGAAAGTCTATTGGTCTGGCCTGCTAATAATGCTCTATGAGATTTGCAATGCTTATCCTCCTGAAATTGAATCAAAGACCGACCAAAAATACAATACTTGACAGTCATTTTCTCTAAATAAAATATTAAAATATTAAAATATTTAATAAAAGTAAAAAGTTTTAAAATATTAAAATATTTAATAAAAGTAAAAAGTTTTAAGGATTAGTGATTTTAATGTAGGGCAGCCATATTGATTTCTGTCTTGTATTATATATTAAATATATATTTTATTTATTCTTTTTTTTCTGAAACAATGATTTGCTGTCTATTGTTATCGGATTTTTATGAATATTTTATTCCTTTGTTATTCATTTTATATTCAATTAATATTCAATTCTTTTAAAAGTTCTCCTATACTGTCTATACAAGTGATAACAAATGCATTAAGGTCAATAAATGAATTTACTCATCAGTAAATACAGAGATGACAATCATTATCTTCATTGAAATTTAAATGAAGTATTTGAATAGGTAAATGAATGTTCCAAATTTTAAACTCAGTTGTTACTCTCCAGCAATGCCTATGGCAGTAATGATTATGATGGAGCTAAGCTCAAATTGAATCAAGTTTTTAGGCATCTATTTAATTACTAGAGTTCATTTTTGATCGAAAAGTTTGATTAACAATTTATCCCACCAAATTTCGGTTTTGGCTAATCATGTTAAATTTTGATTTAAATTCGGTAGCAATTAAAAATGTCTCAGTTGTAGATTTCAAATCAATCTTGCTGTATATTTCTAGATTTGGCAATAGACTAACACAAAATATATAATTTGTTTCGATCTGCAGTTCATTGTGAT